ACTCAACATTTACCGCATCTTTGCTTGAATTCCCATAATCCCTATCGCATTATGTTTCTTTTATTTAGTGAAAAGGATGTTAAAACTTATTTTCAGAGGAAATGTGCCTAAGCAATGTATGAAAAATGTCAGCAAGCATGTTCCGCCACTTTCTTCTTTTGTATGCTTTTCACCGTATGTTATGCTTACGGAATTTTTTATCAATTTTTTTTTTCATTTTCTTATAAAGATAAGATTCTTATAATCTTTTATTTTAATTGTTATAAAATTTTATATTAATAATTCACTTAATTAAGATTTTAGTTTATGACATTTCATATCTGAAATTCGGCCAAATTTGCGGTGAATATTCAACCGAGAAGAGAAGGAAATAATAGAAGTGTAAGAAAACTAGTAGACGGGGATCGAATTAGATTGATTATTAGAGCTATGAAAAAGGGTAAAAAATCATGCAGATGACTCAAGGAATGTATAGAAGATTTATTTCATGAGTACGAATGGAATACTGTTTCACAGCACTGAGTTAAAGCAGGCAGTAAATTGCTCAAATGAAACGTTGGGATAATAACACTTTTACAAAGTCTGTTAAAATATTTGTTTAAAATCACTTATTTTGCAACCTCTGTTATTAAGTGTGTTCATCGCGTTATGAGAAAAGAGCAGCCACTAGATTTTAATTACACATAATCCTCTACCCGAATAATGTGCACGACTTATCCCAAAGTTTAAATTCCTAGTTTTTTTTTTTTATTTTTATTTTATTTATTTCGTATTTTGTATGAATTTAATGCACTTTTGTTTAACAAATTCGGTAATTTAAAAGTAATGCGTTACCACTCGGCTAAGCCTAAGATATTTATGTTTCAAATTTAATCAGAAATCTCGTTGATTTAAAAGAAACGTGTTGCCACTCTACAAAGCGTAATATATATATTTGTCTTTTGATTAATAAACTCGGCGAAAACTTTCAAAGAAACGTACTGAGAAATTGAAATATTATCTTTCACGTGTCAGTGTGTGTAGTCTTTCGGCAAAGCGTAAGATTGTTTCAAAATTAATCTGCGTGTTATTAACAAACTAAATTACTTAAAAGCAATAAATGCGATTTTTCATCTGTATTGTTACGAATTTTTGTATATTGGTAAATAATTTTAGTGAAGTGATGTTTAAAATTGAAGTATTTTTTATATAACGTAACATGAAAACCTGAAAAGATGAAGCTCTGCCGGAAAAACAAGAGTACAGGGGCAAGTTTGAGTAAATGGCTATCTGCTAAACTGGCGAGTTATCGTCAAGCTAACAGTGGTTTTGACGACTAAATTTGGCTTTAGTGTAGAACTGGGTGCCCCTTTGATTGGCAACATTTGTAAAAAAATTTTGGCGATGAAACCTCACTTCTGGTTTAACTTTGTTTTAGCTTCCCGATTTTATTTAAATGAAAATAGATTGATGTGTACATGGACATATTTAAGGCAGTGCGCAATGCCTAGTTTGTGCAATTCTAGGATTTTTTTTAAGTAAAAACAGATCGATGTGTACATTGACACAGATCTTATGCAATTCTTCAACTTCTTATTTTGGTTTTGTGTAGCAGCCATCTTGAAATTGTGACTTCCTGGCGCCGATCTTGGCGTTAAAAAAGAATCGCCAATAAACAAGGGGCACCTAATTGTAAAGTTTTACCCTAAATTTTGCTGCCGAATTCGGCAAGAAATCTTCAAAAGTTACCAAACGTGACTACTATTTGCCGACATTTCGACCCAATCCCTGTATAACAGTAATGGGTATTGTAATTGAAAAACCGTAATTGTTCCTATATGTGGCTCTAACTGTGTCCGACTCTCATAAACATCAATAATTTCGAGAAGTGGAAGATGCTAGAGATCTCTCGGCGGCCGGGGTAAAACTATATAAGACCGAGGATAGCATCAACGTCTCAGTAATTGTTTAGTTCAGCGTGAGTTCGGAATATTAAGATATCTCCGAGTTAGCTTCGCTGTTTAGAGTCTGAAGTGTAACTACTGACTGCACTCTCTGATACTGTGAAATCTGTGTGAAAATTTTTGTGGAAAATTCCAGAACTGTAAAGTGCTTGTTAAGTAAAAATAAATTTTATCAAGCTATCATTAGTTCTGTGTGCATCCAATCTATTAGGAACTAATACGCACTCAACAATATTACAATTAATCACTAATTGGATCCAAGAATTTACTCTGGCTAGACTCATTAAAATCATTATATACTTCTCCTTTTTTTCATAATAACTATTCTGAGATACGCACGCGATTATTACTTAGAGATGTATGTAAGTATGTCGCATAATATGGCGTACAGTATTTCCTCTGTAAACGGAATGAAAATGCAAAATACAATAAATTTATTTTCAAAGGTCACGGTTGGCCCATGGAAGTAAAAAGTATTCTTACTTCCATGGTTGTCCTGTAGTACTATGGCGCCATCTGAGGACCGTTTGCTTAGCAATTTGAACACGTTTTGAAAAATAACGAAGATGCATAGTGTACCAATCTGTACCAATCATATCGCAAAATAAAATAAAAATATAATAAAAATAAATAAATAAATATATAAAAGAATGATAAGTCAACCTAAGAGACCAATTCCTATTGGTGAACCTATTGGTCCTTCCTATTGGTGAACATACAACTCAGCCAAAGAACGTCTATGTAAAGAAGGAAAGGTTCCATAGACGTAATGTAAAACCAGTTTGTTATTACGTCGTTGGAAAACGGAGGAAAAATTCGCCAAGGAATTTGGCGAGAATTCCCTCTCCGCGATGTGTACAGGAAATCGAGGAACAATTGCTAAGAAGAAACGTTCTTTGACTTTTCACAATAATTTAAACTCGGATTTTCGTACTTTTTTTTGGCTCAAAATAACTAATCCATTAATTAATTTGCTTGCGCGAAAAAAATATTTTCTTTTCCTTAAAAGTTTACAGAAATTTAAAACGATAATCGTTGTATGAACTCTTGATAAATGCGACCTTCGAACTTCGACGCCGACTTTGGCGACAGATATTTCGCGCATGCGCAGCTGTTTCTCTCTATGTTGGGACGAAGCTACTCCTATTGCGGAGAAGTTTTCCTTCTTAACACTACATATTCTTTGGCTTAGCTGAGATGTATGTTCACCAGTTTGAGTTGTTTGATGAGTTGTTCACAAATTTGAGTTGTGATGTGTATATTCACTAGTTTGAGTTCTTGGTCTTCACCACATTCTTAATGGTTGGGTCATAGTTTATGATTCTTGATAGCCATAGTTTATGACTCTTCTTGATATTTGGATTCTTTAAACTTAAAGTTTCTCTGTTTGTTAAAGAAATTCTGTACGAAATTAGAAGAACTTGTGAGCAAATAATCATGAGTTTTCATCTGGACTTGCATGCGTTAGGATTGATCTTTTAAGTGAGGCTGAGTTTTCGTTTACGCCACAGCCAAGTTAGGTCTTCTTCCAATTAACAGATATATAACTATGAGAACTGCATTTGCCATCTTTATGGCACGTTTGACGTATTCTTTAAAAAGAAGCTGCTCGTCAAAAATTACTCCTAACTATTTTACAGAGGAATTACTTGGAAAATCAGCTCCGTAAATTTTATATGTTTGTGAACAGGAAAGCTTTTCTTGGAGCGTCTGAAAATAATTACGTTGCTTTTAGAAGGGTTTAATTAAAGTAAAGAAAAGTACTCAATATTACTTAATGAAATATTATTAATTAACTGACGAATTCAATTAAAATTAAAATTTCTTTGTTCAGTAAAATAAAAATATATTGTACTGAATGCAATAAAAACACCAAACAATTAAAATTCTTTTATTAATTCATTTAACATGTATTACAGTACTTAAAGGGCCTTTTTATTTCAAAAATATTCTAAAATGTCTAATATCTGACCAGTTTCATACAAATCACAGACTTCCAAAAATTACATTTGGATTAAAAATACATTGATGACAACATTTTGTTAATATGTAAAAACGTGAGACAACAAGTGTTTGTCAGTACGCATAAGGAAACACGAATGCATTCTCTTACTTTCTTTGGCCATTTCTCCCCCCCCCGTGAGTTAGGACATTTCTAAACATTTTCAAAGTCTCACAGAGTTTTTCGAAAATATTCATATAGAACCTAAAGCACCAAACTTTTTTTTTAACAAATTTGCACAGTTTGGACATCTCGCATTAAAGCTTGCTTGTTTTTAAATCCTTGACATATGTGTCAAAATTTTGTAAATCAGGGTTTGAGGTTAACAAAAAAAAAAAAAAAAAGTGCTGGGTTCCCCCCCCCCCCCACCAGATTATAGTTAGAGTTAAATAAAACAGAAACAAATATCAGAAAGCTAAAGTGGTAGTATGAGATAGCCATTTAACCAGATTGCATTTTCTTTCTTTCTTTCTTTTTTTTTTTTTTTGAATTCTTTTTACTTCAATGCTACGTACGTTATGTAATTTTCTTACCTTGTATATGCATGTAAGATAAAAATGTATGAATCAGAATTATAATATAACTATAAACATTAATTCTTCCTCTCTATTCTAAAATCGTAGTAACTTATCTGCATTGCGTCATTCAGATTAATCATGCGATCTTACGTAACCGTTAATACCAGATGCCTCTTGACAACCAATCACTGAATAGTAAACCAAAACTTTTCTCTTCGCGTGCTTCCATCTTGCATAACTACGCACTTCATCTTTTGCCCTCTACTCTGCTAAGATGTAATTTCGCTGGCTTGCTTTCCTTCTCAATTATATCAAAAATGTAATGTTCTTGAATAGGCATAACTAGAGTGCCAAAGTGATTGTGGTCACAAATATCAATTGGAAATAAAAATGGAATTAAAACTGCTTCGACTGCCAAGTTCTTTAGATATTACCAAGTTAGCATTACTAGCATACTGCGCAATCAAAATCTTCTTCAATATGGGTCTAATCAAGCATCTACAGTGTTCCGTCCTTTCCTTTGCTTTTATCATGACATGCATTTTTTTTGTTTATGTACTTTCTTATTTTCCCTGCTATTATAAATTAATAGAAAATTCATTCTTATATTACAGTCTTTTAAAGTAAATAAGAGAAAATGGACTAATTTTAGAAATTTCCACCTCAAACACACACATCATTCAGAAATATGTACGATGAGACTATATATAAATTTCGTATGATTATCATTTAAAATTTACAAACGAATTATATTTTCTAAACAGGTGAAATCCTATAAAAAGCGTCTCAAGTGGGAATGACACAAATAATTCATTGGCTCTAGGTACCGCCGATTTTTTGCAGTGCTGGTACATACATGTATCCGCACAATGTACATTCAACTTAGAGTTAAGTTTAATAAAGTTAACTCTAAGTTAACTCTAACTTTAATAAAGTTAACTCTATAATTAAACGTACATAGTGCGGATACATGTACGTTCAAGAACTGCAAAAAATCAGCGGTACCTAGAGCCACTGAATTGTCAGTATAAAATATATCTTTCCTATAAAATTGCTCTTTCTACCTTTACAAAACCTAAGGAGCATAGACTTATATCGGATGGCTTTCGAAATCGATAGAATTTTATGTAAAATCGTCAGTCTAAAGTTGCTTTCTTGCCTATTTTTTTTTATCTGGTGAAATATTAAATAAAATATAAATTTTTTATCTGTTAAAATATAAAATAAATAAATATAAACTTTTTAGCTGGTAAAATATAAAATAAAATCACATTGGTAAAATATCTAAGCGATACTGGGCATTCTTGCCTCCATCTTTCTGCAAAAAGTATATTATTAAAAAAAAGGAAGTTTCGAAATTATTTAAATTTTTTAGTAAATAAACAAATTTATCTTTATTGTTTGTTCACTTAGTAATATAGTAATTAATTTTTAGAGATATTAGATTACTCTTTATTAATTAAAAAGATTACTAATTTATTTGTCAGTTATTTTTAAAACTAATTAAATAAAATAAGTAACTACTTTTTTGTAATAAATTTTGATAGCATAATGCATATAAGAATATTTGTTAATCTTACAAAAATTATTCTTTATTTAGTAGCCGTTCAGTATTTAAGCATCTATATGAGTTTAAAAGGTAGCATAATTTCATGCAACCTGAGTTTTAATAAGTCTGAGTTTAATGAATAATTTTAGAAAAATTTTCCATGATTTATGCATTTCAAACATTCTTTTGTAGTTCTGTACTGCCAGCAACAGAATGCCCACATTCATATGACAGTTTAGACTAAACTTCCATTTCATTTCTCTTCTCTTTTATTAATTTATTATATATTTATGCCGAGAAATCTCTATATTTTACGCTAAAATTAACATTCCGAAAATGACATTAAAATATTTCAAATGTTTATACACAGTGGTTCAAGCACGTTCTAACTTGTTAGAAAAAAATTATATGAAATTAGATACATATATCAAAAAGTTAAATAACATAAAATTAAATCTTAAAAACAGCTGTCAAATAATGATTTTGTTATTGGAAGAAGTGCTGTACTTTCTTTTTGGGCTATGTTCATTTAAAATCATTAAACTCTTTTCAAAAGGTGCAATAAAAAATAATTCTTGAATAAATGATGAAAAAAAAATTCAGAAACTGCAAACTGAAGGAACAATATTTGCAACAGTTTCAGAGTAGCAAGATTTCAGGCAATACTCTTTAAATAATCTAAAAACATTTTCCTAATATTTCTTCATCTACAAAAATGGCAACGATCGTTTTCATCTACAACCACATTCGGCAACAACCATGTCTTCGTAGTCGTACTTGTAGGTAACAACACCGTCATCATCCACGTAAAGCACAGATATAGAGCTGAGTTTAGACGGCACGCAACACGCTCTAGAGACTTGCTTGGGTTCCAGGCTATGCATCAAAGTTTGGATGATGGCGTGCTTCGTTGGCGTCAAATGTGCGCTCATGGGAAAAGAACATCTGCCCGAACATTCGAAAGCCTAAAGGAAAGGTTAAAAGATTCCTTCTTCAAGGACTAGTTCGTAACTATACATGAAATAATATTTAGTTGTACATAAACATGTACATAATTATATCTAAACCAAATAACTATAAAATAAATAAATAAATTATAATCATTCCAAGAACAACTAGAATTTGAGGCGTCAAAATAAAATCTGATGTGCGCAGCACATGGCCTTCCCCCGTTCCATATTAAAGAACAACGAGCTTTAAAGTAAAGTATCAAATAATTCTTTACTAAAAGCTCATTGCTATTTAAAACGTGGATTTAACTGATCGTTTGTAAATAAAATCTAATATTTTAAAAACTTCGTAGCTCAGTCTATAAAATGGGAAACGATAACTACATGTAATCATGTACACATCCATTTTCATGCTTTCATTTGAAAATATCGAATTAACGATTTTTTATCTGTCCTTTTAGTTTTATTTATTAAACATGATTTTCTTCGCATTTACGCCACATAAAATTCAACTACAAAATTCATAAGATCTTTAAAAATCTGGACATTTCGAAAACTAAATAAATAACATCATGTTAATTTAAGTGTACAGAAAGAAAAAGAATTGAGAAAAACAAATTTTTTAACTTTAACGATACGGAGGCCATTAATGTGCACATTAATGTGCACATTAAACATTAAAATGCGGAAAACTCTTGATTCCGCGCTTTAACGGAGCAAATCAGTTGGTTTGCAAAGTAGCATATTAACGACTTTCGCACTTATCAGCGGTGACATATATGTATATATTGCCGGTCAGAGGGTATAGTAGTTAGGGGAGCCTACTGCGATAGCGAAGGGTTCGAATCTCGGAAAAGGCATGGATGTAAAATTGTCTGTCCCTTCATAGGAGGCAACGGTGGTCGCCTATTAGGCACCTTCATAGTAAAATGAAGGCCGCTTCCGGCCTTTGTAGTGGTGAAAGCCTAAAAATGGCTACTGCCCGCCGTTAAATATATATATATATATATATATATATAAGCGGCTAATGTGTCGCCGATAGTTTATTGTTGCCACTCGGAAACATGAGGGCGGAAATTAACGTTTTCGCAGTTTTTAAGTAATATCTCAACCGATTAAAATCGTACGAAGATGAGAACGGTATCGATGGATTTGGAGAATTTTTTGGAATCCGAGGATACGCGTCTCGAATTTCAACTCAGTTCCGTTCTGTAGATATTCGAGAAAAAATAATTTGGCACTTAGCCGAATCCCTCTAATAGGAAAAACTCAAGAAAGAAAGTTGAAAATGTAGGGAAACGTAGGGGAAAATTAGTTTTTAATTAATATCTCGGCTAATTAAAGTCCCAAGAAGACACGAATGGTCTGAATGGCGTGCCAGGGATCTGCGGAATTCAACGGTGTGCTTCGCTAAGCCTGGGAGCCAGCCGTTTCGGAGGACATGATTACGGTGAATTACGGTAGTCTGAAGTATTTGGCCTATCGGCCTTTACTCGAAAAATTAGTATCCCTACTGGGCAGTCTTAGTGAAAATCTTAAACAGTACAATTTGTAAGTCTTCCTTGGCGAAGCAATAGATGACGGCGAGACTTAGCGAGATTAAATACAACACGTTACTTCACATCATATATATATGCGGCTTAAGTGTTTGTTTGTCGTCGATAGTTTATTGGTTGCTTGCGTAACTGTATTAGCCAATGGGATGAAGTTACCGTGGCACAGGGTTGCCGTTTCAATTGAGACGTAGACAATTTCCTGTAAAACTTGCCTTTGCTATGACCATCAATAAGTCTCAGAGCCAAACGCTTAAGCGTGTTGGCATTTTTTACCTGAGCCTGCATTTGAATACGCTCAACGTTATCTTGCCTGTTCAATAGTTCATGAAAGAACGGACGTAAAATTAAAAATATTGGATGGTCCTCTGCAAGGCGAGCTTAAAAATGAGGAAAGATCTATACAAGAAATGTTGTGTACAAAGAAATCTTTGACATGGGAATTAACATTTCTTTATTTAAATCACATTTATTGATTGAGCTAGCGGTGGATTCTTAAGAAATGTACCACCAGTGGTTTCCTTCATTGGACTCTACTTTAAGCAATTAAGCAAGTAGAAGGGGCAAATCCCTTTGTGCAGTAAGCAAAGGGGCGTCCTCGCCGCCTGCCCTGGGTAATTCAGTTTAAATTAGCAGACACCTTTTCACAAATCATTTTAATTACAATTTGTAATATCTAGAACAGCGGTCATTTCGTATGACCGCCGGGCTTTCTAGTATATATATATATATATATATATATATACAAAAGTCCTTATGTGGCCGATATTTTAACAATCGTTGGTCGTTGAATTGAAATTTTCAATTACAGAAGTTTTTAAATGACTAAAATATTCATGTTTTGGCAATGTCACAGCAAGAGTAATAGATACCTCATAGCTGGGAGGGGCTATAATCCATTGATCATAATTTATGGAGGCGAAATTGACATGCAGAGGCTTCCTTCTGCAAGGATTTTTCTTCTTTTTGAGTTTGCCCTTTCGAATTCTCCCCAGTTCCTCGACGATATAATTGGTCTGCTCTTCCGCCTCCTCGTCATCGTCTTCACTCCGCCTCTTCCGCGTCACATGAGGGGAAGCCGTACCAGAACCTGTAAAAACAAGAAACACTTCACTGGCACTTTGATTTATTAGTCTAGAATTTTATGCAGAAAACATAACGAGTTATCATGCAGTTGACTCCGTAATTTCTGTGTTTTCATTTCTGTTTATTTAGTAACAAAGAGAAAATGATCAAGCTTATGGAAAGAGAATGCTTTTAGAACTTTCGCCCCAAATCTTTTATATCCAATTTCATATACTAAACACATGCAAGGTTATTTGCATTTATATTAACGTAAAATGAATCTTCAAAATCAAAATATCAACTGACACAACATATTTATTGTAAATCCAGTTAGCTGTCACTAGCAGAGAAACTGAACAGAAAATAAAAGTTTCTTAAAGTTGACGGATAAAGATAGTGACATTACATATTTGAATTAACGAACCGGAAAATATTATTCATGTTTTCTTGATACTATTAATTTGTTTTCCTTTCCCCAAACGCGAAAAGATATTATAATATAAATCCACCGAAGAACTTGATCAAATATTAATTTAATTTTAGTTTTGTCAGTTTTTTCAGATGAGTTGTACGCCATGCTATCATTAATTAGTTTAAAGTCTGTTACATGAATACTGGTTCGTAATGGACTGAACGTCTACGGAACCAATGACAGCTTGATAAAATTTTTTTTCTCAGAAGAAAGACTTTAAAATTCTGGAACTTTCCTCAAAAGTACTCGTACAGATATATTCAGTAGAACAGAGGACAGTCAGTAGTTACCATTTCAAGCTGCTAAGAACATTAGACAAAAAACAATATGGAAACCTCATATGCGTAAGCTCACACATTGCTTTCTCAATTCTCTGATCTAAACTCAGAAGTGATACTTTGTCTAGTTTTACATAGTTTTCCGCGTCCGTCCTAAACCCAAAATTCCCAGTACCTTCGATTTCTCGAAATTGCAGGAAGGTAGGCAATCATAGTTACAGTTACCTACGGCTTGATACAGTTACAGTTATATAAGCATGTAGAGACGTTAGGTATTTTTTGGAAGCAGGAGTGATGAAAAATATGCAACGCCTTCGCCGGGAATCGAACCGGGGACCTCTCAATTACGCGCTGAGCGTGCAGACCACCACACCACGAAGGCATGCGTAGAAGGCGGGAGAAATACCTTATAAGCATAGAACCATTTGCAGTTTCAAAGATATAAGACCAAAATGTCCCCAAATATTCGACAAATTTGGCGACTTCTGGTGATTTTCCGCCAAATTTGTCTACACAAATTAGTCACCAAAACCACTGCCAGCTTGGCGCTCTCTGGCCTAGCCAGTTATCTCAATGTTAAATGGACTTACTCCTGTAATCTTATTTTTCTGACAATACTTCGTATTTCTGAGGCCTTTCATGTTACATTATACAAGAGATACTACAATTTACATATAATATCGCTAAAATTATTTACATATATACAGAATTCGTAACAAATAAATCAATTTATTATAATTTATGATTCTAACATCCAAAAGTATTTTAGATTTTCATTTAAATTTTTAATTTGTAAAAAGGATCTCACGAATTATTCTCAGAAAGAATTAAAGAACTTTAAAATATGTAATTTTAGAATCTGTTCACATAAATATAAATATAACACTTCTACTGTAATCAAAGGTTCCTTATTGTTTTTCACAAAGAAAATATATACTTTTCCAAGCTTTGAACATGCTGTCTTTAATTATCCGTTTAATTAGTTAAGAAGAAACATTGTTACCTCTTTTATTTAACAGAATTACAAATATACATAAGGCAATGAGTAGTTCTATGCTTTCAGTCTTAAAATAGTAATTTCCTAAACATGAAGCCTTACTAGTGGCCGAATGGACAAGACTGCTATATATTGGCAATTCGATCTGGATTCCATCACAGGCCAACGGGCTAGTTACATAGCTGGATTTTGGGGATTTCCCCAGTACTAGCATGATTACGAGCTAGTTTCTTTTTGGTAAATAGTGGCAATTCGACCCGGGCTTGATCATGCGTGTTTGGTTTGAAGGGTTTTCCCATTAGTAGCGCGAATATGAGCCAGTTTCTTTCAGCTAAATATTAACCGTTCGATCTGGGTTCCATCATGGACAAACAGGCTGGCTACAGGGTTGATTTGGGGGGGGGTTACCGTTAGTAGCCTGAATATGAGCAGTTCTTTTTAGCTAAATATTGACAGGTGACAGGTGACGGAGGACGGGGACGCCTGACGTATAACATAGGTAAACAGGCATATGTCCCACGTCCTCCACTATCTCGAAGAAGCAACTCGCTGGAGCCCCGTGAGGCTGCACCAGGAGTTTACATGGCCATACAGGGGCTAGATGTCGGGTAGTTTTTACATAGGACGTTGTTAATACACAAAGTAACTTAAAAAGAATATAAAGGATAGCATTAAAACACTAAAACACTCACATAAGCTGAAAAACACATAGATATACAAATTAAACGTAAAAGCATAAAAAACACACTCGTAATTACGTAACATAAAGACATAAAAAACACACACGAGAATACATATCATGACACATAGAAATACATATGGAAACACGTAGAGCACATAAATGCAAATATTACACTCAGAAGAAACATATGAGACATAGTAAGGTGTGCGTAAAGCAGTAGCGCTGTGCGGAAATATGCTCAGTTCCCATAATACATAATGTACATACTTTCATTAGGGGCTTCTGTTGCATGAATTACATATTTCGTTGCATACACTACATTCGTGCATTGTACGGATATTATATATTTCGATTTACGATAACACATCATTCCATTGTGTGCCCAGTGCTTTACACTGATAAACATGTCAGTAACATTATTTCTGCAAGTTGGTGGCTATTGAAAGCAGATGTTAACACGAGGCTCGAAATTGAATGTGGAATGTGTATTACAGAATGTGTACATACTGCGAATATCTAATAGTTGAGTACATTGTCTGCAGTACCATGCTACTGTGGCTCGCAAATGTCTTGCCCTAGGGCGTTTGATTTGCTGTACAACTGCGCAGATACTCCTTATAGCTGGCGGGTGTTTGATTATGAAACGATAGTAAAGTGTTCTATCATTCGTTGGATGTGGTAAGTGGTGGTTTGTTGTTAGACCGCAGTCAAATAGGTAGTGCTCGGGAGAATCTAGCATGCCACAGACACAATTGTCAGATGCTGAGATGCCATGACGCATAAAATATTGACAGTTAGAACAGGTCCAATCACGGGCGAACGGGCCGGCTACATGGTTTGTTTTGGGGTGGGACTCCTTTTAGTAACGAGGCCCACCAGCGGCCGAGTGGTAAAGACGCTGAACACTGGTAGTTCGGTCCGAAGTTCGAATCCCCCGAACGGGCTGGCTGCATGGGCGTTTTCGTGGTTTTCCACATGTGTAACGTGTATACGAGCCAGTTTCCCTTAGAAAGTCCTCTACGAAGGCATCCCTCCCTGTACGCAAATAGCCCTCGTGTGCTTTGCCGTAATTGAATAACCCATAAGCCACCCTTTTAGTAACGAGAATATGAGCAGTTTCTTTTAGAAAATCCTAAAGTTCTCCACGAAATACTTCTTACTCTTAGGGAGGAAGTCCTCGTGTGCTTTGCCATGTTAAAATAATATTTCCATCATTGATTTAGTATTCTCACTTTGAGGAAATTAAATATAATTTATATATCAAAGCGTTTCAAAAGCAATGCATGGTTTCAAAAGCAATGCATGGTTCAAAAGCAATGCATGGTTGCAAAGCAATGCATGGTTTCAAAAGCAATGCATTTAATTGCATCAAAAGCAATTAAATATGCTTTGAATGATTAGACATAAACACATAACTAAAGCTTTAAAAACCAAACAAATAGATTATGTCTTCACAATATGACAATTTCGATCACTTTATGTCTTTCAGTAAAAACATTTTTATGTTCCCAAAACTGCGTGGGAAATACTTTATTTGTAATTTAAAAAACTGTTTTTATCTCCTTCGGATTATCTTTTTAAGTCCATCGAAGGTATTCTGCCCTTCATGGAAGTAGTAGAAAGAAAGACTGTTTTGGTACCTATTGGTGTACTGACCGTCATGTTATTTTGAACAGCTCGAATTGTCAGAAAACTTCGTTCTCTAAAACCATCTTGATGACAGTAAGCATCCAGAAGTCAAAACTCCTCTGGTCGTTTCCTTCTATCTTCGGCACTAAACGTACAAGCACTTACTAAACATAATAGTAGATCATGCTAACTGTGTTACAAACTGATCATGGGCGATTTCAAAGACTCTCATTGACTTGAAAACGATCAAAAAGATCTTGACTTTCCATCGACTGACGTGCAGTTTTCGGCATCAGAGACTTCAGTATGTGTCATTCTGAAAAGTGAGTTATAATCTACAACTCGTAAGCGAAAATCAAATCCAAGCTTCTTTTATCAAAATGCGACATCACACCAAACAGTCTAAAGACATTTCTATTGTGTTTGTTCTACAACACACACGGCTCTATGCGGAATGGTGCCACATCATGCACTTCGATAATAAATGGATCTTTATAAGATAAGTTTTTGATACGAATAAGTAAATTCTCTTTAAAAACTTATCATGTGTAAGTGCATTTATTAACATTTCTACCGAATCCCTACTCATCAAACTTTTTATTAACGGTTTGTCGGATGATTTCTGTTGTATGAAGATATATAATTTATTGTTCTGAGGAGTTTGCTTGGAGAAATTAATTTTCCCGTGAGAATTTTTTCCCCTTGCATGGAGGCCTGTATAAATGCTTAAATTCTGTACATTTTTAAAGTAAACTAAAACTATCACAACAGAAACTTTCGCAGTCTGAAGAGCTGACTTATTTAATTTATTTCTAATATTAGAGCAATGAACTAATTTCCTTTGAAGGAAATCTGCCGACTTCTGGCGACATCAATCGCCATAAAACTCTCAGATCTGATTAAACATGAGAACAAAGCAACAGGTGCAAAAAGCATTTCACTTTTCCTCGCATCCATCTAGAAGAAAGCGTATAAAGCGGCGCATGCATATGGATACATAGAATTCCAGAAGCCATGTAACAAGAGACTTGTTAAGGATAGAATACCTCAACTCTCATAGATATATCACATTGCAATACTAGATTTTTGCAATCTTGGGTTGCAAAAAATCGAGGGCGTCACTTTATACGCTCCGCTCTGGGGGCTGTGGGCAGCTGCAAAATATCACAAGCCCCAGCTGTTTTGTTCTCATGGTCAATGAGCCTTGAAAGTCTCGTGGGAATTACCGTCGGAAAATATGATAGCTTTCTTTATTAGGTTGTAAGGTATATTTTAATTTTGAAACCCTTTCCTTTCAATTCTCGTTTCCACTTACAACTCCCTACCAGAATGAGTTTAGAATAGCGTTGAATGAAATGAGTTAGAAGAATTTAAGGAAGGTTCAACTAACTTCGATTGAGAGTGCTAGGAGTCCTTACTGGCGCATGTTTACCTCCTGGTTAAGTCATTGATGAAGCTGTTACGCTCGGCCGTATTATACGTGCCTATTGATATTCGCCGGTTAGTTTAATTTAAGGGCCAACTACGTTAGATAATTGTGTCTCGCTTCGGCTAAGTCTCGTTTAGGTAATTTTAGTTTAGTTTTTTATTTCTTACTTTGAGTTAAGTCCTAGTAGAGCCCGAGAAGGGTTCAACTGTCATTCTTATGTGAATGAATAAAAGGGTATTTTAACTCTTCTACAGTCTACCTTCTATTTGTTTTGAACTCAGCGATAAGTCGCCCGATAGTTCACTATGTTCCTGGACGTTTTATAATAAACTAGGGGTGAGGAACACTACAAGGTAAGAAGTTTAGTCAAGCAACCCTACTTTCTAGTATTAATGCAACTGTATAATACTGAAAAATATGTTATATTTATTTTGATAATAATTCCGAAGATAAAGTTAACTTGCGTCCGTTCTCTCGATTATCTAAATTCTTGGCATTTTATGTTATAGAGTCTGTCTCTCTTGTTCCACATAAACCAGAATAGACCCTATAATGAGCTAGAGAATTCTCGCATAGGCGTGAATAAAAACTACTGACTCAGACGAAGGGTAAAAATAACTCTTTATTAATTCAAAATAGTTAACAGAAAGTCACGGACTTCGTGCCTTCCTAGGACATCGTTCACTTGCGGTGGAAACTAAAACGCAGAATATAATACAAGTCAAAACTGACATAAATAGTACAAGAGCGCACTTAAGTTTACGCCTAAGGCCAAGAGGCTTACTGGCGTGACCGCGAAATAACAACGAAACGTGCATTGGCTAGCGAAACACGCTCTGAATAAACTGAGATATTCACATTTTTAAATAGCACTTCACTTTAAATTTACATCCTGGTGAGAGAATGTGAGGGGAAGCTGAGAAGTCTAGAACAGGTATCAAACTTAAAATAAATTTGGTATGCAAAATAAGGAAAACCCTGCAATGTGAGCTTTTTTAATGATCAGTACTCTATGAAATGAAAATCATGTTGATTTCCATAGAAACTACTTTGAAACACAGCAGCTTTTTTGAAACGTAATAATTTCCTGTTTGACAGTTTCTTGCTCCAAAATTTGTTGAACGTGGAAACTGAATCTTAGCTAATTAAAAAAAAAAAAAAAAAAAAAGGAAATAGTTTTAAAGAACACAAGTATTTTGGAAATAAATATTGATAAAAAAAAGGGGTAAAATTAGCTTGATGGTTTAGTTTAGGATACTTACTTTTATCAATGTCATCAGGCGTTCCTTCTTCATATGTTTCTTCAAAAGGTGCTTGAAATCTCTCTGCCAATGACCTTCTCATTCGATTGAGGACTGGATCATCGTCTTTCTTAGATTCTGAAGTTGCTTGAGAAAGAACAAGCAGCTGGGGTCCTTCGACGACGTCAGAACTGAATTCTAATAGACCATCTAATTCATATGGAAGCCGTATTTGTAATTCCAGAACTTTCTCACCAGCTTCTAGCAATGTCTGTAATGATTTGGTTACGTTTGCTGTAAGCAGTATATCTTTGTTTGGATTAAAGAGCTTGTCGTGCAGCAGAACAGAAACACCACGGTGGAAGAAGTATATGCTTATCTTCGTTTTTGAATCTATACATAAAAAATGTCGTGGTTAATTAGAAAGGCTTAGCAAGAAGTTAGATGAAAAGAAGTAACAATTGCTTAACGATAAAACAATAAAGATAATATATTAATAAAAATAATAAAAGTAAGCTTTCAGAATTTTTGATATGTTGCTTAGTTTGGAATGAATATGAAGAATTTAACTATTTTGGCTAACTACTCGATTTTGAAAAATAATAGCTAATTAATAAAAGCAATTTTTAATATAGGACAAGATTGTTTGCCAGTTTGCAACTGTTTGCTTTCGACGCAGCATGAAATCTTTAACTTACTTTTTAATTTATAATTATGCACAGCTTATAAAATATACGTATTTATTAATAATTTGTACTTTTATGTGATACTTTTAATTCGCGATTTAAGATATTATTTTCTAATGATATGATTTATGATATTTTATAACTCGTGATTTATGATATATTTAATAATAATACTCGTACACATAAACAACGATGAATTTTCAGGAATAATATTTATAACATTATTTAAAATAATAAAACATATCACATATTTCGGGAAAGAATAAATTTTGTGTGCCGCTTCACAACTAGTTATTTTAAAGTGCAGTAAAAATACGCCAATGCAAAATTTAAACGTGGTATAAAAGTAATCTTGGTTTGGAGTACATTTTGCATAACACTCTACAAAATTCGATAGCACTCATACACAGCTCTCTCTTAAGATGAAAAAAGTGCTTGCCTAATTCAATAGCAAAAGCACTTTCTCTCCTGAAGAAGAGGGACTTGTGATTAATTGCCCTTGAAATCAATAAATTTTAATTGAAGATCTATGCCAATCTAAGCTTGCCTTTTTATTACTAATTTTGAATTAGTTATTTAGTACAACTGAAAGCGAAATGTTTGCTTTAAAATATTACCATATGATTGAGGAAAGGTTTACTTGTGTACGGTACTCTCCAGACTTAAAGTGATTTACGACTTAAAGATCTACGACCTTTAGATTTTACGTTTTGACGCAAGTGATTCACATTTGTATAAACGGCACGACAAAGCACGCATATTAACCGTTGGTATTTACGTACCATTTTCACTTTCAGCTGAATAATCAGTAAATCAGGTGAGGTATTTCAAACCTTTACAGACGTTCACACATTTTTAGACGATTTTTCACTGTATTTGCAGAAATATTTTACTTAAACATTTTGCGTTTAAAATGTTTTATTTGATAACGCTTATTCTTCACTAACTTTCTACATCGTAATTTACAAACAATCAAGCCTTTTGTAGTATCGGAAGAGATATTTTATCCCATTCCTCTTAAACGCTTTTCAAATTCTAAAGAGAGTTGTAGGTCGACGTTTGAAAAATCCTCTTTTTAAAAAGTGCAAAAGCGCAAAAATCCGTGGGTGTTATAGCAAAAGATTTAGTAGGCACATGAGTGAAAGTTATGGTCTTAATACCCGTTTCTTTTTCCATTTTTTCCAGGAAAATCAATGGTGAATTTTGACGTTTGGTTGCTTGCTTTGTCTTGATGGAGTTCTATTGGTTGATGGCACTGTGGGTAAACAGAAGGTATATTATATTTGAAAATTTAAAAAAAAAAAAAAAATAGTTCCAGCCGTTCGTAAAAATAAAATAATAAAAAGAAGAAGAAAAAAGAAATGTTTTGAATTATATGGATGTAGTCTGTAAAACTAAGAAACGAAAATATTTCAGATAAAAAGAACAGAAAATTTGAAAGGTTTCAGATTTTTAAATTGCGTCCAAAGGGGCGTTTTTTTTAAACATTTTGTCTGTTACCTCTACTTATTAAATATCACGTTCTTCGTACTTAAACCATTAAATTCAGTTGAAGAGCAACATCATCTGCTATCACTGCTGTTACTCCAAGCATTTTCTTTTCCTTTTGGCATTTCCCGTAGGAATTTTACTTTTTTTATGAAGCTTTATGACTGTAACTTTGTTATCAGTCCGATATAAACAAGCTTAGCTTTTTTCAGATTAGGTACTGGCCGCCATTCAACCGTCTAAAAAGTTACTAACAGAACGAAAAAAATATGTAGTAGTTTAATGAATTTAGTTAATGTCATTTCACGAGTTCAGCTAGTAATTAACAATAATAGAATAATAATAAAAATAATGGAATAATATTATAAATAACTAAGATATAGAATAGAATAACAATAATAATAATATAATAGGATAATAATAATAATATAATAAGATAATAATTATAGAATAATAACAATAAGGGAATAATAATATTAATAATAATAGAATAATTATAATTAATAATAATATAATATAATCCTACTAATAGAATATTATTTTTAATAACAGTATAATAATAATTAATAATAGAATAATAGAGAACGGAATATACTGCTTAGAAATCGCTTAGTTTTAATATAACAGACAAGTTAAATTTGAAAAAAATTTAAATATTTTAGGCTTCGTTAAACGATAACAAACTGGTGCATGGAAGATAAAAATATTTTATTTTACAGCAATTTAAAAGAAACGTGTTAACATATTTCTTTTAAATTGCTGAGTTTTTCATTCATTATGAAAAACATTATGCTTTACCAAGCACTTTTATTTATTAAATGTTGTGTTCTTCGCACTTTAACCATAAAATTCAGTTCAACAGCAGTATCGCAAAATAATTTTAAAAAGAGCATAGCTTTAGTATTTCCGACACATAGTTTCGCGCTCTGGAGATAAAAAAGTTTTTTTCTCCGTACTGTGTTGCCATTGCTCGGTTTGAAATCTTTGAGTTTGCTAATCAAAAATTCGTCGAAGTGTTAGAAAATATGAAATCGATAATAAAGCAAATTCCAAATTCCAAATTAGGGCTTCCAGATGCTCATATTCGGTGGAGGATTACGTTATTCAAAATTTGATGACTCTAAGTACCTTTGTTTTAGGTGCCAAAGGGCAGCACATATCCTTCGCGTGAGTTTCCTGATTGCATTTCAAAGACAAGTACTCCACGTTTTGCTGAGTGACTTTTAAATTATTAAATTCGAATGGCAGACATATTGCGTTTCACGGAGGGACAACATATCCTTTTACAAAGTTCAGTTTTCTGATAAAATTTGAAAAATAAAAATTTATGCTTTCCAGAATGACAACACAAAGCTTTTACATCATCATCATCAAATGTTCATTAAATTTACATGTAATACGAAAGAAATCAAAAACCAATTCGAAATTTAAAATTCTGGATTCGAAGTGCGCATAGTCGGACGGAGGATTACGTGTGTTAAACATTTGATGGTTGTAGATGCAGCTGTTTTTCCACAATACGAGGAACATACATACATACAGATTCTATTTTATCCGAAAACAGATGTGAACATACGTATTTGCTAAAGACAGAAAACGTAAAGCTGAAACGTGCAACTAGATTTTGAAAACTACAGGTCTGAAACAAAACCACTTAACAAAAGTTCTGTTCTCAAATTTTTTCCAAAGTAGAAGATATAACTGATGCCAATTATACAAAGAATTTCGTGGAAAAAATGAAAGATTTACTATTTTTCCATTTAAACTAAAAATGCTTTTCACTTTTTTTCATGTTTTGTTTTTAAGGTAGCAGTTTATCATGTGCTGTTTAAAACATGCACTAAAGAGTAAAGCCTAAAGAATTCTTATTGATTTTATTACTACAAGATTAATTAAATTACAGAGACAAGACCAAAATAATGCAATTGAAGAATTTATTAATTTAACATCCATGTATATAACCATGCCTGCGATAATTATAAAGCTCTCATATTCGTTACTCGAGTAGTATCATAAGTTTAAAGTATGGTAGTCAGAGGAAGAAATATTAAAAATTTTATAGCTTTAAATTTCAGAAAATTTTGATGCCCCCTAAAGGTTAAAGCTCAAGGCATATACCCTTAGATAAATTACAGTCTAGATAAAACCGGTAAAATATTCGATAAAGAATAATTTTAAAAAAAATTGAAAGCTTTAAGGTTGTGTATTATGGCCAAAAGGACACACACACACACACATACACGTTTCGAAAACATTTGGGCTAAAAATATTTAAAAACAAGCTTATCTTTAAAAATCCCAATAGACAGTCTCGCGCACTGTAAATAAAAATGCTTTATTCCGTTAAGTGTTCCCTTTGAACTTGTATAGTTTCACAAAACAGGAAATAGATAACAAAATTAATTTGAAATTCAAAATTCGGGCTTCTAGGTGCCATTATTCAGGTGAAGGACTACGTTATTCAAAACTGGATATCTCTAGGTACCATTGTATTTTCACAGTGCGAGAAACATACATACATTCATGCAAATTCTTTATTATTTAATTTCTTTAAATATAATGCAGAGCTCTAAATTTGGCAACAATTTGAAAAGTGAACCGACATTTATAGTGAATCTACGCAAAATGCCAAAAACGAAATTAATAGTCCTTCTGGGCAAATTGCCCCTTAGGGCTAAAAAAAGGTTTTTGTCAGCATTAGGGATGGAAGTCTCCAGCAAAACGGAATATGGTGTATTCTCCCTCCCCCCGTTCACGCTGTTTTTTATACAAAGCCATCCGGGTGTTTAAAAGAAGAGAAAAGCACATTTAAATATCTTTCAAAAATCATTTATCAGTAAAGGCTTAGAGAAAAAAGATCTGTGTTCCGAGGAAGCGGTCAGCTAAATAATGCTCAGATTTACAGTGTTAAGTGTTGCCATGCTTCTTATACTATTTATTTTGGGGATGTAAATTGATGAAGTATCCGGAGCAAGTCCGGATATCTTCACCTATAAAAACTGTTACTGTTTGGAGTGGCAAAAAAGGTTCCAAATTTTAGGCTAATTTGTTTGGTTTTCTGGCATATTCGAACTCTTAATACACAAAAATACTAACTCATTATCTGAAAAAATTAGAAAATAAAAAATTTGATTATTCTTTGTTTCGAAGCTGTGTATGGCAATGATTTGTAAAGCGATTTGAAATGGAATTCTAAGTTTTAAAACTTCTATTTTGGAAA